AAAAAAAAAAAAGAAAAAAGAAAAAAACAGAAAAAAAGAGACACAGACACAGAGGGAGGCCATAGAAGTTATAGCCAAGGAACGCCTGGAGACGAAGCTAGAAGAGGAAGGACCTCCCCAGATCCTCAACAGGGAGTATGGCCCTTCCAGCCTGGATCTCAGACTTCTGGCTTCCAGACTGAGAGAATGCCTTTCTGTTGTCTAAGGCCCCTGGTTTGTGGCCGTTTGATATGACAGCCCTAGGACACACAGACATCTGCCTTCACTAGATACAAAATGCAGCCCTGCCCATCCCTCCCCCAGCTCTGAGAGGTTTGACTCTTTGTTCTCACCCCACCCACCTCCTCCAGCCACCCCTGCCCCCGCCTCCCCCAGGCATCCTCACAATAATGGAGAAGGCCAGACAAGGCGGATAACGAGGTCAGCGAGAAATCGAGACAAAGATCCTGGTAACAGTGAAACCCTCGTCTTTAACTACAAGAAATAGATACAAAAACTATCTGGGCGACGGCGCGCGCGGCCTGTAGCTCCCAGCTCCTCGGGGAGGCTCGAGGCAGGAGAATGGCGTGACCGGGAGGAACAAAACAGAGAGATATAAGCAGTAGAAACTGAACGCCCTGCACTCCAGCGGGCGACAGAGCGAGACTCGTCTCAAAGAAAAAAGAAAAAGAAAGAAAACAGAACCGCGCACACGCACCCAGGAACAGACAAACCAGAGCGCGGAGAGGAGAGGAAACATACGTATTATATGCCAGGAACGCCTGGAGCGAAGCTAGAAGAGGAGGCTCGATCCTCACACAAAAAAGGGAGCTCATCGGCCCTCTACAGCCCTGGATCTCGACTTCTGTTCCAGACTGAGGGAAATGCCTGTTCCTGTGTGCGCTAAGGCCCCTGGGGTTTGTGGCCCGTTATAGATATGAGAGCACCTAGAGCGGAGGACAGACATCTGATTCACTAGATCAAAATACAAACCACTGACACCATCCCCTCCCACACAAAGAATATAAGAGAGGATATATAGACATCTATAATAGTTACTCACCCACCCACCACCCTCCTCCGCCACCTGCCCCGCCCTCCCCCAGGCATCCACGGCGTGGCTCTGGGGCCCCTGTTGCGGGGGGGGGGGGGT